GTTTTCCATTTTTAAACTTTATATATATATATATATATATATATATATATATATATATATATATATATATATATATATATATATATATATATATATATATATATATATATATATATATAAGTACAGACGATCCTTAAAAATAGATTCGGTTAAAAATAGATTCGTTTTCATGAATATATGCAAATATTCATCTCTATATATTCATGAAATAAATTATAACCGAATGGATTTAAAAGGAGCGTCTGTACTTTATTATATTCTTTATTACTTATATTGAGCTTTCTTTGGATTAATGTCCTTCTTGGAATTATCCCTACTAAATATCAATTGACATTATATTTATATATATATATATATATATATATATATATATATATATTGAGGAATGACATTCTGATATATATATATATATATATATATATATATATATATATATATATATATGACATTCTGACATATATATATATATATATATATATATCAGAATGTCATTCCTCAACTTTTCAAGATGTCCGACACAAAAGGTGCATTCGAATAATATGAATATATTATTGAAAATCTTCGATTTTTTACGTATTATTACACATTTACTTGGCTTATTTTTATGGAGGAGATTTACAAATTTAATAGCAATAGAACATCTTGATCGATTTTTAAACAATGAATGCATGTACAGTAAATTGTTTTAATTCACAACTAATTATCAAATAAATAGCCTGAAACATACGTAAATAAACAAAAAGTTCAATAAAATGTCCCGTGTATTGTAATTGAATAAAAAATTCTATAAATCAAAAGCAAGAAAAGGGAAAATATTTTCTCGTCACCCTCTTGAAACCTTGTAATTTTCCCTTTGTTTGATAAACCCTGATTTACAATCTCCTTAGATAGTTTACTAGTTGTTTCACTATGTCCCTCTTATGAGGGAGGCTTACGTCCACATCTCGTTGAAAGTGCTCTTCTCGTGCAATCACTAAGGTTAAGCAATGTTGAGCCTAGTCAGTACCTAGATGGTTGACCGCATGGGAATACTAGGTGTTGTGTGGGTGGTGTAAGGGGAAATGTCTCGGAATGGTTAATTGGAGAAGCGAGTTCCAATTCCAGTTGGGTTCGTTATATTCACGTACGAGTAAATACCGTTGGGAGATGAACCCACCTCTTCTCCTCGCAGATTTGGGTTAATTGGTGTTGCAAGCAGAATGAGGAAAAACCAAAACGGATGTTGGAAATGAAATGGTAATCTTTATAACATCAATAAAATAAAATACTCGCTAGCGGCGTGAAGTAGGTAAACCACAGCTAGTGGTGGACTATTTAGTCAGCATATTACATCCACTGACAATAGTGTCCAAAGTATTTATGAGGATGAGGGTATACCCACTAGTGTTCATTGGTACGGTATATAACAGTTAGTAAGACCTATATCACTAAAAACATAATTATCTTTAAAAAAAAAAAAATACGTACAAAATATTTAGCTTTCGGCATTAAATAACACAGAGATACTGAAATGCAGTTAAACAACCAACCAAGTAACCATAGAGGACTTCAGCTCATGGACAAACATCCTTTGCAAGCCCCTTTTTTACATGTTTGTCCCAGGCATGCTTTTTCAGACCCAAGGAGTTCTGCTGCCTTGATTTTCGTGTTACCTTCTCTACCTTGACTGACTCTTGAGCTTTATAGTGCGTAAAAATTAGTAAAAATGTCATGTGAGTATCAAATTTTCTAAGCTATCTTTCTTCATTAAGTGTCTCAGAAATTTCAACAGTCTCTTCCTAAGTGTATATTTTGTTTCGATTTCCCTGAAAACTTCCTCGTTGCTTACATGCTCCATCTATGATATTCTCATATAGTGTTGTTGTTTTTAAAGATCTCTCACTGGTATAAACCTGGACGCAGATTTACCGTGGAAGATTCAGAAATTAGTGCACTTTCTATATAAGTTCGCTTTAGAAAATTCCATTCTGTTTTAATTAAAATTTCATTCTTTCAGTCCCAGTGATGGTCAAATTTATTACGATGGTCTACGAATGCACTGAGTGTGTTTTAAAACATGCCTTTTGGGATTATATATTTGATTTAAATTCTTCGAAGTATCCTCATGGGATTACAGTCGATAGTACAAATTCATCCAAATTCGAATTCTAGTCGATTTCATTACATTCTCTTACGTACAAATAGCCTTGGGGAAAGGATGCAACCATCTGTCTTTAAAGCTATGTGGTGAATAACAGGAGAGATTGGGTCTATATGCTTAGTTAGTAACCAGTTTCGCAGAAGTCAACTCTGAATTCAAATCACGAATCTTTGGAAAACTTGTTGCACATCATGCGACACCAGTTCTTTGTATTCTTTCGAAAAGTGTTGTATCTTCTACACTTCACCACTATAACCGAATCATGTCTGGCTGTTCGGATCTAAGAACTGATTGAGATGCTGTAGCCATCATACATCATATGTTTTCAAATTATATATATATGTATATATATACATATAT